TGCTTCATGCATAAGAGTCAAAAATAGGAAACAAATCAAAAGTTTGTCAACAGCAGGATGGATGAATTGTGGTGTAATTATGCAATAAGATACTACACATCAATGAAAAATACATTGCTGCAACACTGAACAAAATGGATAGACGTCAAAAACAAACATTGAAGCCAGGCACTGGTGGCTCACATCTGTAATCCTACCTACTCAGGAGACAGAGATCAGGAGGATCACTGTTCAAAGCCAGCCCGAGTGAGACCCTATCTTGAAAAAACACATCACAAAAAAAAAAAAAAAAAAAGGCTGGTGGAGTGGCTCAAGGTGTAGGCCCTATGTTCAAGCCCCAGAAATGCAAAAAAAAAAAGAGAAAAAAACCACATTGAGTTCCAGGAGCCAGATACAAAAGAAGAGTACGTTCTGTCTGATCCCATTTCTATGATGAAGTTTAGAACCAGCAAAACTAATCTGTGGTGATGGAAGTCAAAATACTTGTTACAGTGGGGGTTTCTAGACTGGTAAGGAGCACCAGTGAATTTTCTCAGGTGTCACAAAGGCTCTGTATCTTGTGTGGTTTTTGTTTTTGTTTTTTTGAGGCTTGAACTCAGGGCCTACACCTTGAGCCTCTTCACCAGCCATTTTTTGTGATGGATGGCTTTTTTTGAGATAGGGTCTGGTGAACTATTTCCCTGGGCTGGCTTTGAACCGAGATCCTCCTGATCAGCTAGGATTCCAGGTGTAAGCCACTGGCACCCAGCTTGTATCTTGTTTTGAGTGGTAACTGCAAGGATGTATAGGTAAGAATTTGTCAAGGTGTTAAGATTTATGTACTTTAGAAGGACACGATAAATGTTTGAGGTGATAGATGTGAGTTACCCTGATCTGATCATTACACCTTGTATTGAAATGTTATACTGTACCCCATAAATATGTACAATTACTATATGTGATTTAAATATAAAGTCAGGTGGTGGCTTATGCCTGCAATTCTAGCTACTTGGGAGGCAGAAATCTGGACGATAGTGGTTTGAGGCCAGCAGGGACAAAAAGTTTGTGAGACCACCCCCTACCCCCCATCTCAACCAATAAGAGCTGGGTGTGGTGGAATGTGCCTGTTATCCCAACTACACAGAAAACATAAATAGGAGGATGGCAGTCCAGTCTGGTTCAGGCACAAATGGGAGACCCTATTTGAAAAAGCAAAAAGGGATAGGGGTGTGGCTCAAGTAATAGAGCACCTGCCCAGCAAATGCAAGGCCCTGAGTTCAAACCCCCGTACCACCATAAATAATTAAGTAAAGAAATAAATAAACATACAGTTTTAGGGCTGGGGGTGTAGCTCAGTGATAGAGTGCTTGCCTAGTATGTGCAGTCCCTGAGTTCAATTCCCAGTGCCTGCCCCCACACAAATAAGTAAATAAACAATAACAAAAAGATTTGTGCACTTTACTGTTATGAATGTTATATTCTAAAAAAAAATTAAAGAAAAAATATGTCCTTCAAATATTTAAGCAGTGTAGAAGTGCATACAATGAACAAACAGTAACAAATGCTGGGGAGGGTTTGGGAGAATGTAAATTAGTGCAGCTACTGTGGAAATCAGTATGAGGGTTCCTCAAAAAACTAAAAATAGAATTACCATATGATCCTGCTATACTACTCCTAGGCATTTATCCAAATGAATGTAAGTCAGCATACAATAGAGATAGGTGCACACACGTGTTTATAGTAGCACTATTTACAGTAGCCAAACTATGGAATCAGCCTAGGTGCCCACCATCTGGTGAATCTATGAAGAAAATGTGGTCTCTACACACTATGGAGTATTACTCAGCCAAAGAAGAATGAAATTATATCATTTGCAGGGAAATGGATGGAACTGGAGATCATCATGTTAAGTGAAATAAGCCAGACTGAGAAAGACAAATATTGCATGTTCTCTCTCATATGTGGAATCTAGACCTAAGGGGAGAAAAATGAATGACATGAATGTAAAATAGGGAAGGGGAGAGGTTTGGCGGTGGGAACTAACGGGAGGAGGAAGGCTGAAAAGAGGCTGAAAAGGCTGGGTGCCAGTGGCTCACGCCTATAATCCTAGTGACTCAGGAGACAGAGATCAGGAGGATCACAGTTCGAAGCCAGCCTGAGCAAATAGTTCAAGAGACCCTATCTCAAAAAACCCTTCACAAAAATAGGGCTGGTGTAGTGGCTTAAGATGTAGGCTCTGAGTTCAAGCCCCAATACTACAATAAAAAGGAGAAGGTGAAGGGGGGTGAATATGGTCAAAGTACTTCTGTTCATATGAACAGAATAATGAAACAATTTTAAAATGGTTTAAAAAGGGAGGGAGGGAATAAGAGAGGGAGGGAGAACCTGATCAAAGCACATTATGTGCATGTATGACCTATCACAGTGAAGCTCCTTTGTACAATTAATACATGCTCTTAAAAAAAAAATCTTAATAAGTCACAAACTGGTGGCTCACACCTATAATCCTGGCTACTGAGGAGGCAGAGATCAGGAGGATCTCAGTTCGAAGTCAGCCCAGGCAAATAGTTTTGAGAGAACCTATCTCGAAAAATCCTATCACAAAAAACTGGGCTGGTGGAATGGCTCAAGGTGAAGTTCCTGAGTTCAAGCCCCAGTACTGCCAAAAAAAAAAAAATCTTAATAAAAGGCTGGGGTCATAGCTCAAGAAGTAGAGTGTTTGCCTAGCAAGATAAGGCCCTGAGTTCAAATTCTAGCACTGCAAAAGAAAAGAAAAAATCTTAATAAAAAAAATGTATACGAAGTGAATTAAAGGTTTCCTTTTCTCATTGAAAATCATTATTCCAGAGGATGGGGGAAAAAAAAAACAAAAGAAAACCACAATTCCAGAATATGTTGTGTGTCTCCCTGGGGCTCTCCAATCACATCCATATGTTCTTCAGCCTATCTCTGATATTCATGTCATCCAGAGATTTGATCTACCAATGTGCAGCATCAAACCAAGGCAGTAGAATCAGGAATTTCTGCCCTCATGAGACAAAGTTCAATAGAATACCTTGCCCCTTCCTCAGTTAAGGATCGGTAGGAAATACAAAGATGTGAGTCGCAACCAGTATGCTTGAAGAATTATATCCAGAGGAAGGGATCCCAGGCTCTACACCAAACACTGCAAAGAGCTACAATACCATGCCATGCCGTATTTTAGAGGTCCTTCAAAATGGGTTCAAACTATTGTAAAGGTAATGATACTTTGGACTGTATAAAACTTACGTTTTCTTTTTCTTTCTTTTTTTTTTAAGGGTAGATTCAGTTTATTAACCAACTAGAGAAAATAGCACAAAATGACCATGAAAGAACAAGAAAGATGAATAGAACTTACATTTTCTAAAGTTTTTCTCCCCCACATATAGGTTCACAAGTTTAACCCTGTGAAGCAGTCATTGTAATAACCCTCTCTCTTTTTTTTTTTGTGGTATTGGGTTTTGAACTCAGAGCCTACACCTTGAGCCACTCTATCAGCCCCCTTTTTTGTGATAGGGTTTTTTTTTTTGAGATAGTGTCTCGCAAACTGGCTTTGTACCTCAATCCTCCTGATCTCCACCTACTGAGTAGCTAGGATTACAGGAATAAGCACCAGAACCCAGCTCTTTTTTTTTTTTTTTTTTTTTGAGACCAGGTCTCACTTTGTTGCCCATGCTGGCCTGGAACTCCTGGGCTCAACCATAGCTGTGGACACAGCAAGGTGAAATCATGTGAGCTTTGCTGGCCAGGCCAATGATGATGCCAGGCCTCAAGAGGCCAGCTGCTATGAGCAAAACCTCTAGGTGTAAGCAAACTCCAGGTCACCTTCTGTATCCAAGGTCAAGAGCTGCTTGGTGCTGCACTCCCCTCACCTCTGCTGTCCTTCCCAACCCTACATCGTGTCCTTTTCACCAGAGGGACTTAAGAGACAGTCTGGAGAGGACTCTAGTCTTTGCTTTCTCTTCACACTACCTCTTACTCACCTACCTCAAGGTCATCATAGACCACCAAATGTGTTTGAGGGGGCGGGGGGCAGGGTTTACAGGGGAACACACAGCTGACAGCAGGCTGCCTGGATGTTGGAATCCTCCCTCCTCCCCAATTCTTCGTTTTTTCCCTCTCTCCATTTGGTCTTTCTCTTTCATTTATCCACTACTTTCCCAATTTGCTTTCTCTTGCCCTTCTCTACCTTCAAAAGTCAGTAGATAAACCAAACACTCCCCACCCGTGGCCACCAAAGCAGAACGTTTTTTCTTACTTCAGTCCACTACACTTTGTTTCTTTTCACATCTCCTTGTCTACTTAGACAAGAAGGCGGGGAAGCTGTCTTTACACAACACAATCCCCAGCCGCCCCTGGGGTGAAGGTTAGGAGGTTGGAGGGAGCATTCAGGACCTCGGGCGCAGCTGCTCCGGACGTTCCGTGCTGGCTGAACGATTTCTGAGTCCCCTCTCTTTCTGGGGCTGGGAAACAGACACTAACTTGACTTCCAACGTTGAGAAGGGCAGTTGAGAATCTTGAGAGGAAAGGCTGCGGCTGGGAGTCCCTGTCGTCACCACCCCAACCCTCGGTTGGAGCAAAAGTGACATAGGGTCCCCAGTACAGATGCCAGCGATCCTGCTCCTACGCCTGCACATTGCAAAATGGAACTACCTCCGGTGGCATCCGGAGGGAGCTTAGTGATCAGCCCCAGCGACCTCCATTCCGCTCCTCGGGGACAGCCTTTGGGGCCTCTCTGCTGGGCAGTGGCCCGAGGGTCCCTTCCCCACCCCCTACCTCTTGCTTTGGGCTCCCCAGATCCCCTCCCTTCCCGGACCGCCCGCCCAGCCCGTCGCCCCCGGCGGCTGGCGCGGGCGGTGCAGCATGCGGCAAAGCTCTTTGCATAAATTATGCTCATGACGCAGCAGCTAAAAAAATCCAAGTAGCAGAAGGAGGGAAAGGGGGGGGAAGGAAAAAGAGGGGGGGCCGTGGAAGGGGGGAAAGCAGAAAATATATATACCTGACCGCCCCCCCACCCAGCTTTCCCTTCCCGCTTCCTGGCCGTGCCCCTCCGCCCAGCTCAGCCCACCGAGCCCCCTTCGCCTCTGCCCAGCCCTGGCTGGGGGCCCGGGGACAGCGGCGGGTCCCGACCGGCTCCCGGGCCGGGCCGAGCCGAGCCGAGCCAAGCCGTTCTGGCTTCTTTGTCTGCGGGCGGCGTCTGCCCCGGCCCCGGCCGCGGTCCCCTGGTCCGGGCTGTGAGATGAATCTCTAATCGGTGTGGCCTCCGGGCACCCGGGGCGAAGGCGGCTCGGGCTCGGGTAAGTAGCGGGGTCCGGGGCGGGGAGGGGTTTGCACGGAGGGGGAGGGGGCCGGGCAGGGGAGGTTTCGGGTTTGGTTAATATGCAATGCCCGTAATTAGCATAATTTATATATTTATGATAAAGAGAGAAAAAGCCGCGGGGGCCAGGGCAGCGGGATGCGGGGCCCGGGCGGTTGGGAGCTCCGGGAGTGGACGGCGCGCGGTGCCCACCTGGGGCGGCAGGACCCCCCGGGGCCGCGCCCTCGCCGCCCGCGGCCGGATTGCACCCGGACCGAGGGGCGGCCACCAGGTGCACGCGGTGGGCCCCCTGGTCCTGGCCCCTCCCGTCCTGCGCCTGGAATCCAGGTGGGCTGCGGACCACTCGGGAGGCTGTAGGCACTGACCCCGTGGCGGCCGGGAGCGGATCCCTCCTTCCAAGAGAACCGGACGTATGGGTTCCCGGCGACTAGGGCCACCTGAGGCAGACAGGGCGGCCTGTCACAATTCTCCCGAGCGATCCTACTGGGGCAACTCCGGGTTAAAGACCTGGGTGTTGCCAGAGGGTGGACCGGGAGTGGTGGGAGGGTCGCCATGGACTTGAGCATGAGCGCTTCATAAATATTTAATCACAATATTATTAATAATAATAGTCACCAAAATGGGCCCAATATGTGCTCCCTGGGCATTCGCACCCGGAAAGTCCAAGGGCGCCCCAGGGTGCCCTCTAACCTCCGCTTTAGCGTTGAGATCTCCCACTGCTGTGATTGAAGCTGGGACTGCTGAACTGGGGAGAAGAAAAAGCTGTCACGAAGCTTTACTGGACCAAAGACAAGAGGCGCTTTGCAGACATTGTAGCCTCATCTACTCTTCCGGATTCCTTGTTCCCAAAGTAGAGGGCTGGTTCATACGTGTGCCCCTCCTTCCCTTATCTTGGTAGTCTAGATCAGCCTACGTAGACTGGCAAAGGCCCTCTGAGAAATAATCCCATGTATTCCATTTTGATTGCAGCCCTGGTCCTCAGGATGATGTTTCTGTGATTGGGACCTCCTTACATACTGCTCTAGAACTTCATTCATTCCTTCATTCTTTCTGCAAAAATATCCATCAAGTGCCATACTCTGAACAATTCACAGGAAGCCTTCCTGTCTGGAGTTTACATTCCAGAGTGGGCAAGGACATACATAAATGTGAAAACAAACCAGAAAATACCATAGAGCGAGTGTGTGTGTGTGTAGTGAGCAATTTTTTTTCTTCCTGGAGGCACCACCTAGCAATTAGGGAAACTGAGGCTGTGTTGCTCAGTGGTAGAACATGTAGTATGTACAGGGCCCTGGGTTCAATCCCCAGCCCCACATTAAAACAAACAAACAAACAAACAAGTGGGGTGCTGGTGGCTCACACCTGTAATCCTAGCTGCTCAGGAGGCAGAGATCAGGAGGATCAAAGTTCTAAGCCAGACCTAGGCAGATAGTTCCAAGATACTATCTCGAAAAAGCCCTTCACAAAAAAGGGCTGGTGGAGTGGCTCAAGGTAGGCCCTGAGTTTAACCCCTGGTAGCACCCAAAAAAAAAAAAAAAAAAGAAAGAAAAAGAAAAAGTGAACAAATGAAAGAAAAAAAAGAAAGAAATTTGCTCTTTCAAGGACTCTCTGCTTTTTTTATTATTATTATTAGTTTTGCAGTACTGGGACTTGAACTCAGGACTTTGTGTTTGCTAGGCAAGTGCTTTACCACTTGAGCCATAATCCCAGCCCTCTCTGTTTTGTTAAAAAACCTGGAAACAGCCAGGTGCCAGTGGCTCATGCTGTAATCCTAGCTATTCAGGAGGTAGAGATCAGGAGGATCGTGATTCGAATCTAGCCCAGGCAAATAGTTTGAGAGACCCTATCTCATCAAAATAAAGGGGCTGGTGGAGTGGCCTTGAGTTCTGAAAAAAAAAAATCTGGAATGAGATTGCATACCCCTCCCCAAGATTTAATCAGTATAAAATTACAATAGGACCTGGCACAGTGGCTCACTCCTGAATCCCAGCTACTCAGGATGATCCATGTTTGAGGCTGGCCCAGGCAAAAAGTTAGCGAGACCTCCATCTCAATCAATAAACTGGACACGGTGGACTGAGCCTGTAATCCCAGCTACTGATGTGGCATAGGTAGGAGGATTACATCTAAGGCAGACCACAGCAGTACCCTGAGACCCTATCTGAAAAATAACTAAAGCAAGAAAGGGCTAGAAGTTCATAAAAGCACTTGTCTAGCAAGCTTAAGGCCCTGACTTCAAACCACAGAATGACTAAAACCAAACAATATTACAAGTAGTTCTGGGGGTATTGCTTAGTGGTAGAGCATTTGAACATGGTCATGTTCAACACCCTGGGTTCAATCCCCAGAATAAACAAATAATTAAATTATTATAATGATCATCTATGTTTTTATAATGCTTTACAAATTTAAAACATGATATATGCATGCTTTACTTAAAAATACTGAAATTGGGCTGGAGGAGTGACTCAAGTGGTAGAGCACGTGCCTAGCAAGTGCAAGGACCTGAGTTCAAACCCCAGTACATCCAAAAAGATTAAATAAAATATAATAGCAATAATAATAACACTTATATACCAATTCTAAGTGCCTTATACAAATGTTACCACTTCACAGTTGGATGTGGTTGGTTTACACCTGTAATCCCAGCCCTCAGGAGACTTTGGCAGGAAGCCAGCCCAGACTACACAAAAAAAAAAAAACCCTGTAATAACTTGTGAGGTGGGCACTATCTATAATTTAGCTCCACTTTACAAATAAGGAAACTTTTTTGGGCAGGGTTGTGGTGGGGGCAGCACTGGAGTTTAAACTCATGGCCTCACGCTTGCTAGGCAGGTGCTCTTACTGCTTGAGCCACTCCACCAGCGCTTAGGTAAGGAAATTCCCACCTGTGATAGAAGCCGTACTTAACCTGGGTCTTCCACTTTAAACCTGATGCTCCGCGAGGTGGCGTGGCCCACTGTAGTCCCAGCACTTGGGAGCATGAGGCAGGGAAGTATGTTGAGCCCAGGAATTCAAGGTCAGCCTGGATGGTATAATAAGACCCCATTTCAGATAAACCCTACACTCTTCCTGAGTCATAGTGAGAGTCAGTGACCCTGAAGAGGAAGGAGGACCCAGAAGAAACTGGCCAAGGGAGAGAAGGCTGAGGACTGAGGAGTTAGACCAGCACTTCAGGAAAGGGTTTGTAATCAGGGTTTTCCAGAACTCAAATCTGTGTTGTTGACAAATTTTTTTGTTCATTTATTTAATTTTTGCAGGGCTGGCGATCAAACTGAGGGCCTCCCACATGCTAGGCGAGTGCTCTACCACTGAGCTACCTCCCCAGCCCTGAAATCATTCTTAAGTAGCCCCAGTACTGGGAGTGGGCAAAACAGTTGGAATAGGATGTTTGGGGGAGAAAACAGAAATCTGAACAGGCTGAGTGCTCTGGCTGTGTGACTTAATGTCTTACTGGGTGTTTTCAGCTGTGTTCAGAACCCCTGTTACACACTAGGCACCACACTGGGTACGAGGGACAGGGTGATCAGCTTAAGTGGTCCCTGCTCTCGTGGAGCTTACAATCTAGTGGGGAGCTGGGCGGTGGTAGCTCATGCCTGTAATCCTAGCTACTCAGGAAGCAGAGAGCAGCCTCTGTTCAAAGCCAGCCTGGGTAAATAATTCTTGAGACACCATCTCCAAAAAACCCATCACACAAAAAAAGGGCTAGTGGAGTGATTCAGGGTGTAGGCCCTGAGTTCAAGCCCCAGTACCGCAAAAAAATAGAAAAAAATCTAGTGGGAATGTCTGTTTTTTATTTTTCACTTTTCATGGGCACCCTTCACCCTTTACCCTCAGTCCCTTTGAACACAAGGGAATGGGGACAGAAGAAACCACATCTAAATGTGCCTGTATGAAACCTTTACTATTTCACTTCAGGTGTCTAAGATTACTAATGGTAGGCTGGAAAGGGAATTCACTTGCTCACTACTGCCTTTGTTTTTTTTTTTTTTTGGTGATACTGTGGTTCAACTCAGGGCCTTGTGCTTGCTAGGCAGGTGCCCTACCATCTGAGCCATGCTCCCAGCCCATTTTCTTTGCTTCGTAGTTTTTTTTTTTAATAGCATTACTTTTATTTTTATTGTCCAGAGCTTGTGTAATGTAAGAAGCAGAGCTTCCTCCTGGACCCAATTTCATTAATTCTCAATTGGCTGGGGAGGCCAATAGGGATATTTCTTGTCTAATTTTTTTTCTGGGAAGACTTCAAGTCCTCAATGGTCATCTGGTCGAAAGGAATTATGGTCTTCATTTTCTCCAGCTGTTTGTTATATTCCGCAACCCTCACTTTTGAAAGAGACACCAACTCAGCACACTCTTTCACATCTTCCTGTTCTTCAGCATCCACCAGGGCAGTATATTTATCCTCTAGCACAGGAATCGTTAGGGCATTAAACTTCTCTTCAAAGACATCCACCAAGCCTGCCTTCACCACATTGGCCTTATAGTACAACAGTCGATAGCTGGTGGTTTCTCAGGTAGTGTAGCCAATCTGGAGCTGAGGGTCTCATTCCAGGACTTCAGAGAGTTAGCAAGAGCCTTTTGGTTTCGGGGTATGATCTCCCCCAAAAGCTACTATCCAGTCAGTGGCTTTTAGAGTAAATTTGCACCCAGCCATGTTGGGATCCTTCACCGACCTGTAGTTTTTTTTTCAATAGTGGCTTTTTTTTTTGCCAGGGGCTAGCCTCCTGTCATGATCCTCCCACCTAAAGCTACCATTTTCTAAGCACTTAGTTGGTGCCAGGCATTGACGTAAATATATTTTTTGTTTTTGCTAATTGTTTGTTAATCTATTTAATTCATTTTTTAAAATCTATTTAATTCATTTATTTTTGAGACAGGGTCTTGAGGCCCAGGCTAGCCTCAAACTCATTTGGGGTTTATTTATTTATTTATTTTTCCTTTTTTTTTGGCCTCAAACTCAAAAATCCTCCTGCCTCAGCCTCTGGAGTGCTGGCATTACAGGTATGCACCACCACACCCAGTCATTGTAAACGTTGTACATGTGCAGTTGCCTTGTTTTTTTTTTTTTTTTTTTTTGGTGTTGGGGACCGAACTCAGGGCCTTGCACTTGCCAGGCAAGCGCTCTTCCACTGAGCTAAATCCCCAACCCCTAAACTTTGTACATGCATGAATTCATTCAGTCTTCACAATAGCCCTAGGAAGTTGCAGCTATTTTTTTTCCATTTTTACAAATGAGGAAACTGAGGCATGGAAGTTAAATCATTTGTCCAAAGTCCCATACCTGGTAAATATCAAAGCTGACATAAGCACAGTCTGCCTCCAGAGTAAGCTCTTAATCCTAATACTATGTGTGAAAGAAAGGCCTGGGTCCCATAAACTATCAATGACTACTATTCTTCAGCTAGTAGGATGAGAAATTTGTGTCCCAGGGCCAGGAATGGAAAGAGATGGAGGACATGAAGAAAATCCACTGGGCCAAGACACCGTGAAAGAGCCTGGAACAGGGCAGATAATACTTACCTGCAAGAGGGGGCATACTAAAGCTGTGTGGACCAGGTGGTAGCAGTAAGAAGGGGGAATACCCCATCTACTAGCACACAGAGCCAATAGGCTTTGCTGAGGATGCCAATGGAAGATGGAAGAGGAGACGGCCACAGAGACTGCGAGACATCAATGGAAGATGGAAGAGGAGACGGCCACAGTGACTGCGAGACATCTGTGGAAGGCTGATGTTGCCGTTTGCCGAGATGGGGAAGGCTGCAGGCAGAGGGAGCAGTTTTGGGTAGAAGTTGGGAGTTTGGTTTTCACAAGCATATGAAGTGATTATGATCAATCAGTAGGCAGTTGGATAGTCTAAAGTTTCCAGATGGAGTCCAAATGACTCCAGGTGTTTAAACAAATTTGGGTTCTGTAGTTGTCAGACTGGGTGAGATCATCACCTGGGGAGGGAGGAATGGAGAGTGGACTGGCTACACAATTCACCTCAGTCCTGATAGCAGTCTCAAAGTGACACTTGCCACTGCTTAATGCTCCTTGCATATGGCCATGGCTAGTAGCAAGGAACCAGAGGCTACAAGACTATGAGCGAAGCTTTTGGTTCCTCTACAGCAGATACAGCAGTGATGCTCCTGCCACCTTCCTTCCAATGGCCTCCTTTAGAAGTGGAAATTCCTCTCCCATGAAATGTACATATCAATCTATCACAGACCCCAATTCCCTTTCAATCTTTGTCTCTGCCTCTTACTTCAATTTGCAAATGACTTGTTCATTGGCTTCTGTATATAATGACTTTCATAGTTCCTCTCAATTCCCAACCAGAGTGGTGGTAAATTGCCAAGTTCTCCGAAAAATTCAGGGAAGACTCCCATGATCAAAATCTGGGAAGGACATAACTGGTACTGCTAGAGCCCCAGTGAGGTAGGCAGATACTCACCAGTTCTTCCAGAAAATTCCTGTGCCCCACTGTACCCCCTGGCCTACTGAAAATGAAAAGATCACTTACTCTGCTTTCAAATGATGAGGTATCTCGAATTACATGTTTTTTCCTCCACCGCCTCTCTCGGAGTGTTGGGAAGGAGAAGAGAAGGAATGTCCTTGCCTGGTTGACCAGGGAACATTCTGCCCAGTGAGTGAAGATGTTAAAAACCCCAGCAACTCCACTCCTAGATACATACTCAAAAGGCTTAAAAACAGGCGTTTAAACAAGTTGTACACAAATATTCATAGACATACTATTCACAATAACCAAAGGTAGCAACAGCCCAACTATCTATCAACTAATGAATGGAGAAACAAAATATAGTAGATCTGTACAATAGCTATGAGAAGGGATGAAGTTTTGATACATACTCCCACATGGATGAACTTGAAAACATGCTAAGTTAAAAAAAAGGCCATGTATTGTACAACTCCATATATATAATATCCCAAATAGGTAAATTCATAGAAAGAAAGCACATTAGTTGTTAGGGCAGGGAGGCAGTTAATAGTAGATGGGGGAGTGTCTATTAATGAATGTGGAATTTCCTTTAGGGTTAATGAAAATGTTCTGGAATTAGAAGTGGCAACGGCTGCACAACTCAGGAGACAGAAGTCAGGATTGAGGTTCAAAGCCAGCCTTGGGCAAATAGTTTGCAAGGCCCTATCTTGAAAATATCCAATATGAAACAGGGCTGGCAGAATGGCTCAAGTGGTAGAGTGCCTGCCTAGCACATGCGAGGCCCTGAGTTCAAACCCAGTACTGCAAAAAAATAAAGAAGAAAATGAAACAAAACAGCAAACATCTTAGGGAGAAAGAAGAAAAGGAAGAGATAGGATCCATAGCATCTTTTTTTTTTCTTTTTTCCAGTTCTGGGGCTTGAACTCAGGACCTTCACCTTGAGCCACTCCTCCAGCCTTATTTTTGTGAAGGGTATTTTGAGACAGGGTCTTATGAACATCTGCCCAGGCTGGCTTTGAATTGTGGTCCTCTTGATCTCTGCCTCCTAAGTAGCTAGGATTACAAGGCGTAAGCCACTGGCGCCAGCTCAGAGCATCTTTCTAAGTTTAGTTTCCTTAACTGTAATGTGGTGATGACATGTCCCCACCCCCCAAAACTGGCACAAGTGTTATATAAAATGCTTAGCCCACAGTAGGCACTGAAATGAAATGCTCATTGCCCTTTCCTGTGTAAATATCTAAACCCATTTGCCCCTTTATTTCCCCTATTTTTCCTCTGTGGTTTGTGGCTCCAGTCAGACAACCTGTCCTCACATGGGGTTCGGCCACTCCTTCTTACTACATGTGGCAAGCTGATCCACTACTGAGGATGTCCTATCTCCTGTGGACAGGTTGCTGTGGTCCTTGGACCACTGCCACAGAATCACCTGAGAGTTGATTCTGTGGAACCCACCCACTGAATCAGACTCTGGACTTGTAGGGGGAGGGGCCTGGGAACTGCATTTTTAGTAAGTACTCCAGAGGAGGATCATGCATATTAAAACTTGAGACCAACGGTTAATTTATGACTTTACTGTCTCTTTTGAGAAGGCTGACCAGATTACACCTCCACCCCCATCACCACTAAGCACTCCTCACCTTTGTCTAAGGTTCTAAGTACCTGTCATATTCACCATGGGCACTGCAGGGCATGCTGTGCATGGTCCAGGAGACATATACACACTCCCCCCCAACCCCCACCCCTACCCCCGCTCTGCCCCAGAGACAGATGCCTGGTCCTGCCTTTTCTGTTTTCTGTGGGTCACTGTACACACATATGCTCCTGGCTCCTCCTGAGTGCAGGTTCTCCTGGAATGCCATGCGGACTGAGACCCTGGTGTTCTTAGAATCCTGTTTCCTTTGCTTCTCCAGACTCTTGGGAGAGCCTAGCTTCTCTGTCCTCCTATCATTGTATTTCTGACTTTTCTAGGTGGTCTGGGAATTATCTTGCCATGTCACATTAGCCTTTGCTTTTCCAATTCCATCTCACCCAGGATGCTCTAGGTGTGGGCCAGCCCCCACCCCACCCCGCAATGACCATGGATCCTGGAGCCGGGTCCGAGTCATCTCTGACTGTCAACGAGCAGGTATCTTCTTGGGGGAGAAGGGGTTGGGGTGGTGAGGGTGTTGAACTGAGGGCTGTGGGCAAGGGAAGAAGACTCCACAGAGTCCCTCACTGTCAGTTTCTTACCAAATTTCAAGGTCGCTTTACCTGTCCAGAAGGAGTTGCCAGCTAAAGTTTCTCAGAGGCTGAGTTTGAGAATTTAAGTTGTGACTTTAAAATTGAAATTAAAATACACATTATGTATAAGTTTATAGAATAAAGGTTTGGATATCAGGTAGTTTACTTTTTTTCATCTTGCTTACATGTATTTTCTAATTTTTCTGCAGTGACTTTATTCCTTATGTCATTTTAAAAGGAGAAAAAAAGATTAACATCCCTTAAAATATAATTGGATTCGTGAAGTCCCTCATTAGTCAGGCTTGAGTTGGCCAAGGGAACTGGTTTGGGGAACTTATTTTACCCCTACTCTCCTAATGGGTTCCACTGTTCCCTTTTCCCCTTTCCGAGAACAACTTCTGGCTGGATCCAGTTTTCTGGCTTCAGGAGTATGTTCTGGGAGTGGTTTCAGGCACAGGCCAAGTTCACAAAGCTTTTTAAAATACAGAGATCACCTCGATTCTTGAATGGCCCAAATGGCAGTATGTCAGCACTGTGGCTGAAGAACTGAGGGCAGGTCATGTGAACAAAGGCCCAGGGAGCCCTGCACCATGTGTCCTTCTGGTCTGAGCATGCCCACAATGGAAGGCCCATAGGACACCAAGCTTGGCCCAGGACAGGGCAGAGTGAGGCCTGAGAGACTGCATCTTCAAGATTCCTGAACCTTCTTTCAGGAAGTTAGCTCACATTCTGACCCTTTACCCCAGAGTTTTGAAAGCTTAACAGTTACTCGGCATTGTGGAGCATTCATTTTCTACCCCTTTATCTTTGGGGAACTTCCAGATGGTTTCAAGGGAAGCAAAGATACATTTGTGTCATGGCTCATCCTAAGCTGTGGATACTGTGCGAGGAGCCTTCAAAGCCACATTCCAGTATAATAGCAGCCAAGAAGATGTCCTTACAAGCAGTGGGACAGGCCATTGCCTGCTCCCTGAACTGAGTTCAAGAAGGAGAGCAAATAGGAATATCCCCCACGTGATTTGTTCCTCTCAGCTTGCATCAGTCACCCAGGCCTGATTTCTTCTAACAGCTCCTTCTCTGGAATCAGGACGCTGCAGCTTGGTCCAGGCTCTCCCAGAGCACACTTTCTCTGTCTAGGAAGTCTGCATCTTGAAGTGGCCTCCCCTCTCTCCCTCAGCCACACCCGGAGCACTGGCCCTTTCCCCCAGCAGTGTCCCCTCTCTTCTGCTTGCAGGTCATTGTGATGTCAGGCCACGAGACCATCCGAGTGCTGGAAGTTGGAGTGGATGCCCAGCTCCCTGCTGAGGAGGAGGGAAAAGGACTGGAGGGCATGGCCACAGAGGGCTCCCAGAGCCGAGGCCCTGCTGAAACCAGTGAACCTGCTGGTGAAACTGGGTCAGACAACCCAGACCTCTCTGCAGAGGCAACTGGTATGAGAACATTGCTCTTATCTGGTATTGCTTCCGTTGAGTCCCTGCTGTGGTTCCCTGGTGAGCCAGCCTGGACCCAGGTGGCATTAGGGTCTTGTGTTTCTGTCCACTGGATAGCCTGTGTGTATAGTCTGTGCTTCTGACCAACTTCCAGGGCTGGTCTTCCCTGCTGGTTTCTGGAATGTACATCACTCCCAGGCCTAAACTGGGGTGGGTTGGGGCGAGGTGGGAGGAGATTGGCAGGGCTCAGCCTAGAGGGTCGAAGAGGCTCCTTGGCCCAGAACAGAAGGAACTGGATCCTGCTGGCCTTTGCAGCTCAGTCTTTTTTGTGGTAGATACCAGAGATCTAGGAGCTGAGGATGGAAGGGCATCTTACTTTTCTCATATTATGGACGCAGATTAGATAGAACCCTGCAAATGCCTGCTCCCTCCTCTCAGCAGGTTTATGGGTGAGATCCTTCTCCAAAGATAACCTCCAGGTGTGACCTGGCTGCTCCTGCTGTACAGCCATGAGAGAACCAGGGCTGCTTTAAAGGCTGAGCTGTGGACCCAGCACTGCTCCAACCATGAGCCACTCTTTCACTGACTTCCCATACCAACACCTTGCATAGTGGTGTTTCCATTTGCAGAGAGTCTTGGGCCTCCTTTGTCAGTTCTGAACACCATCATTCTCTCCGTTTGCCTTCTGCTCTGCTTCACCCTTCCCTAGACTGCAGATCTGGGCTTGTGGGGGCAGTGGGCCAAGAGCAGCAACCAAAAGAGAGTAAAGGACAGCAGGTGAACTTCAGAGAAACAGCAAGTCCTTAATGAGACAACTCCATGACCTCATGACACTTGTTCTTCCTGCACACCAGTCTTGGAACCCTGTGACCTTATTTTTTTCCCCTTCATAATAAAGCCAATGACCATTTTCCCCTAGCCTGGAAGTGCTCTTCCTCCATGTTGAGGCCAGGATGGGTCCTTATTGTGCCACCCTTTCTACTCAGCAGAGCCACTGTGGGGATGAGGCCCTTTTTTGAAAAACTCAGCAAGTTTCTTGGGTTTATCTATGGTGCCCCAACTTCCCCCTTTTCATGCTTTTATCCATCTTCTATATCTCATTTTTTTTCTTGTGCCTTAATTCTGCTCTCAGAAATGGATCCTAAATCAGTTATTTATACCTTAGTCTGAGTGTTTATGGTAGGGTGCATCTTTTTCCAGAGGTTTGTATATTTAAAGCTTTCACAAAAGACTTCCTCTTGGTAAAGGAATTTTAGCCATTGTCAAGAAGGTAAGGAGGAATTGTGATGCTTACATTGAGGGATCCGTTTTAGGTATGCAATATTAAGAAGCAGTCCCTCTTATTAAAACAAAAGAAAAGGTAATAGGAAAGTTTTTCAAGATGAAAAAAGAATCTAGTGATTTGTGTTACTTACTACCCAGTCCTTGTCGTACACGTACATTTTTATACATGTGGCCACAGAGGTATACTGTAGAGTATGCCACCATATTATTTCATAAACTCACAGACTCACACACCTATTTCTGATTTGGGTCACTGTCAAATTGTCTAAGTTGTTTGTTTTTGTTTTCTTGTGGGGTGGGTATATTGGGTTTGAACTCAGGGCCTACACCTTGAGCCACTCCACCAGCTCTTTATTGTGATGGGTTTTTTCGAGATAGGGTCTTGAGAGCTCTTTTGCCCCAGGTGGCTGCAAACTTCGATCCTCCTGATCTCTGCCTCCTGAATAGCTAGGATTATAGGCATGAGCCACTGGCACCTGGTTGTTTTTGTTTTCATAAACAGTGCTGCTTTAAATATCTTTGGTCCTTAAACACTTTTTTTTTCCTTTGTGGTATGGGCCACAGATACTCCTTTTGAGAAGAAATCAATTGTTGATATAGGAGGAAGGCATCTCAGGGAAAAATTAAAAATCTTGCTATCGATAATAGGAAAAGTAATTGACCTTAAGGCACTGCATACCTCTTAAGCCAGACAATGTACAGTGATAAAACCTCAACTGGGTGGTACTGTGGAAACAGGGCCCTTGGTGGTAATCCTGAGAGTGGGTTTAGTCTTTCTGCAAAGCAGTCAGTCAGGAACTGACAAAACTCCTAAATAGCTGGGCACTGGTGGCTCACACCTGTAATCCTAGCTACTCAGGAGGCAGAGATCAGGATGATCAAGGTTTGAGGCCAACCCCGGGCAAATAGTCTGTGGGACCCTACATTGGAAAACAAACAAACAAAAACCCGTAAAGCCTAAACATATGTAAACCCTTGGGCTCTACATTTCCACTTTGGAAATACTGTATGTCTTAATAAGATGATGTTTCATTCCTTTAGATGGTAAGCTTTTACCATTAACATTTGTCACAGTACCATTTTCTCACTTTCCTTTTTTGTTTCATTCCATTTTACCTCACAAAATTCTTTTAAACTTTCATAAGTTCAGATTATCTTTATCTTCTCTGATTTTTTTCACTAGTTAAAAATGTATCTTTCTGCTACAAAAAAGATAAACCTGTCATTTGGTTTTCTTTTGTTATTTTGTAAGGTCTTTATTTTTGTGTGTCTTTAGTTCCTTAAACTTTCTGGACAGTAGAGCCCTGTGTTAGGTTGATGTCCTTCTATATAAAAACATGGGTTGGGACTCGAGGGCTGGACAGACCCTTAAGGTCATCTATTTCAGTAATTTCCACTCAGCTGTGTGCTGTATCACAAGGCAGCGTTAAATTCCAAAAGGGAGAGAGAAGAGGTTTCTGGCCTCTGCTCTTAGACATTTTGATTCAGTAGGCCTAGATTAAAGACTAGAAATTCATGTCCAGTCACCATTAAGAACCACTGATCTGTCAACATCTGTCACCCAATACCTAGACTCTTTTTAAATGTCTGACTATATTTGAAATTATAATCCCTAGCCAGGCATGGTGTCACACATCTGTAATCCCAGCACTCGGGAGGCTGAGGCAGGAGGAGCACAAATTCAAGGCCAACTTGGATTATGTAGTAAGACCCTATTTTTAAAAAACAAAGGGAAAAAGAAAAGAAATTATAGGCTGGGCACAGTGGCTCATGTCTGTAATCCCTACTCAGTAACCAGCGATCAGGAGGATTGAGGATCTAGGCCAGTCCAAACAAAACGTTAGTAAGACCCTATTTCAACAAATAAATTGGGCTGGGCGAGGGTGGCTCACACCTGTAATCCTAGCTACCTGTACTCCTAGCAGAAATCAGGAGGATTGTGTGGTTCAAAGCCATCTTGGGCAAACAGTTTGTAAGACCCTATCTTGAAAAAAACCCATCACAGAAAAGGGCTGGTGGAGTAGCTCAAGGTGTAGGCCCTGAGTTCAAGCCCCAGTACTGCAAAAAAAAAAAAAAAAAAAGTCCTGACTCCAAAATACCCAACACAAACAAGGGCTGGTAGACTGGATGAATGCGTAAGAGCATCTGCCTAGCAAGCTCGAGGCCCTAAGTTCAAACCCCAGTACCACCAAAAACAAAACAAAAAAACCCCAAATAAGTTGGACGTGGTGATGTCTGGCAGGAGGCACAGGTAGAAGGTTTGTGGTCTGAGGCTAGCCCAGGCAAAAAAACCATGACACCTCATCTGAAAGATAGGTCTTTTGACTAAAAGAAAAAAGAGCTGAGAGTGTGGCTAACGTGGTAGGACTTACCAAGCTCAAGGCCCTGAATTCAAACCCCAGTACTCCAAAAAAAGAAAAAGAAATTATAATCCTTGTCTATACTGTCATGTGACTGGGATGAAGTTTCCTGGTGGGGCACCCAATTCCTGATGAAAAGATCCAGTTCATGAGAGGCTCCTCTGGAAACTCATAGAAACGGTTCTTCTTAACTTAAAATCTCAGGGAATGGCAGAGAAAAGCTAGCTGGCATGCCAAGCTCCTGTGACCCTGCAGCATGGCAAAGACATGTCCAATTCTCAGAGACTTTGCCCAGCACTACCCCTGTCCCTTTCCCAACCCAGCACTTTCACATCCCCAAAGTAGCCTGACAGTGGATAAAGAGCGATTCAGGTGCTGGCTAAGCCATGCATAGCTGCTCTTGTTAATTCTAGCTTTCCCTTCCTGACTCATGTTTGCCCCTCTGTTGCTTACATGACAGGAAGTAGTGTCCTATAGAGCCAGGAAATGAGGGGTTGATACCAACTGCACAAAGACTTGCATTTTTTTCATGGAAATGTAGGAAGAGAGTGACCTTCCCTCTTCATCTGGGGCAGGACTCTTCAGCCTCCTTGTCACTCCAAGCAGCACTGGGGAAGCTGCCTCATGGGCCAGGAAGGCCAACAACTGATCTTGGGTTATTCAGAAATTCCATAAGGGGTCAGCCACTTCTGGCTGCAGATGTGATATTTTATTCCATTCATCCCCCCACTGACATTAGGCTCACTCCTTCTTCTTTCTCTCAATACCATGTGAAGTGAAGTCACTCGCGGGGATCCCTCCGAGTCCTGCTCCTGCCATTGCCACCTTCAGCCAAGCCCCAAGCCAGCCTCAGCCATCGCAGACTCTGACGCCCCTGGCTGTCCAGGCTGCCCCCCAGGTAAGGGCCACCCCAGGGAGCTGGACAGAGGGCAGTGGGCAGGAGCAAGGCATGGAGGAACCATGGGACCTAGGAACTGCATGAGGCAGCACAGGGAAAGGGCTGTGGTTAGAGGAAGGGAAACACCTACTAAGCACCCCTGGCTTTCCCCTGCCCCAGATGAGGCCCACTGGAAAACAGGATCAGCATTTGCTGGGCAATCTTCTAATGCCAGAGTTTCTGTTTATCTAATGATGAAATGAGTGAACACCCTTGTCGGCCCCTCCAGTGGATGCCTGGACTAATTAATGGATTGTTCAGAGTCCTCATTTAGAGTTAGAAGCAGCCACAGCACAGCAAGAACCCTGCAGGCATACAGAGCCTGGGTGACCTTTGCTCCACGCAACTGATCTCCAAGGCATGCAGTCCAGGGTGTCCTCCACCAGAGCTTCTGGGAGGCGCCTATGCACCCTTAACCACTCCATTGCAGCCTCTGTTCTCTATTCTCTCGCCACAGAGTACTGGTCCTGTGGACAAGGGCCCAGGGAAGGTTTGGGAGGCAGTAGACTTCAGGCTGGTCCCTGTCCTGTTTCAAGCGACTTCTCTGCAGGCAGGATAGTCTGGTCCAGGCACCCCTCAGGGTCAGGCCTCCTGGTAGGGCTTGGCCCTACTTGCCGTCCTGTGGCCTTTTTCCCCACTGCCCTCAGAATGCTTGTTTGTGCTCAACTGGGTCCAAGAGACCCAGTGTTTGCGCTGTCGATGTTGATTTTTTCTTTTTTCTTTTCTTTTTGAAATCTTGTTTGCTTTTGCAGGTCTTGACTCAGGAAAACTTAGCCACAGTTCTGACAGGAGTTATGGTTCCAGCAGGGGCAGTTACTCAACCTCTTCTTATCCCCATCAGTATTGCAGGTCAAGTGGCTGGGCAGCAGGGGCTGGCCGTGTGGACAATTCCTACAGCAACTGTAGCTGCCCTCCCAGGACTGACCGCTGCTTCTCCTACGGGGGGAATTTTCAAGCCACCTTTAGCCGGTCTCCAAGGTAACGGCAATTCTCCCCAGGACTGCACCAGGCCCCCTACCACCCCTGCACATGTGTGCTTACCATGTTGGACTCAGAACCTGCGGCCCACCCAGGGCAAGAGCCCTGGAGTCTGGATCCAGTGTCCCAGGCGCCCAGCCACAGAGCCACCGCACCACCTCGGGACTCTAGGCCAGAACACCAGGCTGGCTAGCAGGCCTTTCTTCCTTCAGCCAACTGCCTGAGACTGTCCCCTCCCCAACGCCAGAATTCACCCCTTGACCAGTCTCCTGAGAAGGACTGCAAGAAGATTCAACATCTGGTTCTTGAACCTACACTTCTACTGGCCCAAGGGAGGGGGGATGAGAGATGTTGGCATGTGTCAAACCTTCAAGCATCAAGGGACTTGCAGCTGCCTGTCCCCATGCCCACTGTCCCAGCCCCTTGTCATTTTTGTGCCAGATCCCTTGGGATTGGAGCCGCTCTGGGCTGTGGCTAGGCATTTGAGCACCTCTGTCTCTGCCTTGCTCCGTAGCAGCTGCTGTGCTGAACACCACCCTCCCGGCACCTGTACAAGCTGCCCCACCAGTCCAGGCTGCCTCACCAGCCCAGCCCCGGCCACCAGCCCAGCCCCAGACGCTGTTCCAGACCCAGCCGTTGCTGCAGACCACACCTGCCATCCTACCACAGCCCACTGCTGTCACTGCCGCTGCCCCCACCCCTAAGCCAGTGGATACCACCCCACAGATCACCGTCCAGCCTGCAGGCTTCGCATTTAGCCCGGGAATCGTAAGCTGCTGCCCTCACCCAGGGCTAACCAGGGATGGACCAAACCTTGGGCCAAGGGTGGAACTAACCCTTCCCACAGTGGAGGACCAGCCCCTTGATGACAGCCTTTCCAACATCAGCAGAGATGGGCTCCCTCTGAGGTCTTCTTGCAGCTGTCAGCCCATCTGGCCCAAACAAAAGTCGACCATGTCTGCCAAGAGGCCTGGGGAAATTCTCCAGAACCTGAACCACTGGCCCAGCCTTGGAGGGTTGGATGTCTAGGGATTACAAATTTGTGAGCCACCCCTAAGCTATGGCTGGAGGTTCACAGCTATATGCCAGAGTCTATTCAGTGTGGCTCCTGCTTGGGAGTGGAGCTGTCGGATGTGACTAAGAGCACATCAGCCAGTACAGTCTGGCTCTTCTATTCTTCCAGGCCTGGCTGGAAAGATTAACCAGGGTTACTGTTCCATGACCTTGGCCCTACCCTTCCCTACTGCCCCCCCCACAACTGCCCCTACCTAGCACTGAATATTCAGGTAGTGGACATGGGCCTATAGCCCACATTCACATCTACCCACTCCAGTGCCCTCACCCTTTCCTCTGTCTGGGTCTCCTTGCCCTTTAGCCTCTGAGCAAAGCTCTTCCTCCACCCACAGATCAGTGCTGCTTCCCTCGGGGGACAGACCCAGATCCTGGGCTCCCTCACTACAACTCCGGTCATTACCAATGCCATTCCCAGCATTCCAGGGATCAGCAGTCAGATCCTCACCAATGCTCAGGGACAGGCAAGTGGTCAAAGTCAGGGCTGAGGGGGTGGGTGCTGTGGAGCAGATGGCCAGGAGGGGGCCAGGTCTTGGGCTGAGAGTCACAGAAAGTGAAAACAGGGCATCTGGTTGCTTGCTGTTCATAGCTCCCTGGGGTAGCTCTGTTGATCCTGAGGATAGACAGGGTTGTAGCCCTAAAGGTGTTCCTTCTAGTTGGGCAATTTCATTTATGGAGCACATGCTGTATGGACAGGGTTTGTACGAGGTGCTTTCTCATACATTATCTCACTTTGTTTTGAGCACATATGTATTAGGTGTAGATTTTTATCTTATAGGAAGGGACAAGATTCAAAAATATTAAGCCACACAGCTAAAATTGGCAGAGGACTGATTAGCATCCAGGTCTTTGGTTCACAAATACCTTCTTCTGCTCCTTTCAGGTCTGGGGACAGAATAAGGGAAGGAGCCCTAGAGTGTGACTCCTTCACTTTGTTGATGAGAAAACAGAGACCAGAGGGGTTAAATAATTTGTCTAAGTTAGTCTCTTCTCCTGCCACTGTAGGGATTTGGTTTGGGGGTAGAGCTGGATACTGCCCTCACACTCAGGGTCCCTGCTTTATTTCTTCCTAGGTTATTGGAACACTTCCATGGGTCGTGAACTCAGCTAGTGTGGCAGCCCCAGCACCAACCCAAAGCCTGCAGGTCCAGGCCGTGACACCCCAACTGTTGTTGAACGCCCAGGGTCAGGTGATAGCGACCCTAGCCAGCAGCCCCCTGCCTGCACCTGTGACTGTCCGGAAGCCAAGCACGCCGGAGTCCCCTGCTAAGAGTGAGGTACCAGAGCTGAGGGTGCAGGTGTGGGGACAGGTAATGCTGTCTGGCATGAACTGCCTTCCCTCCAGACTGCCTGGCAGGACAATATTTTCTGAAACTCCTGGGAGAGCTGGGCATCTCCAAAAGTGAGGGAGGCCCCAAAGTAGAAGGTCTATGGGAGCCCACACATACCCTGGGTCAAAACCCAGTGGGCCTGGATCAGTTTCAGAGTGAACCAGCCCCAGGATGTTAGTTTTGATTCCTCCCTCTTTGTCTTCCCTCTCCCCTCTGCACTGGGGCTTTGATTATTCTTTGATTTGCTAATTCCAGAGAACCTACTATAGTTCAAGTGCTAATGTACTTGCTGGTCTTAGCTCAGTGGTGATGATTACAAGTCAATGTGGTAAAGACAAGATGGGGGGGGTGCGGTGAATAGATGCTTGGGGACCCAGAGAAGGGAGTTCTGACAGACCAAGGCTCAGGCAAGGCTCCATAGAGAAGTGGTTTTGTTTATTTTATTTATTTTGCTGTACTGGAGTTTGAACTCAGGGCCTACACCTTGAGCCACTCCACCAGCCCTTTTTTGTGATGGTTTTTTCTGAGATAGAGTCTCATGAACTATTTGCCCAGGCTGACTTCGAACCTTGACCCTCTGATCTCTGCCTCCTGAGTAGCTAGAATTATAGGTGCCAGCCACTGGTGCCTGGCTAGATTATTATTTTTGGTGTTTGTGATACTGAGATTTGAACTCAGGGCCTCACACGTGCTAGGCTTGCTAGGCAGGTGCTCTACCACTTAAGCCACTCCCCCAGCCCAGAGAAGGGATTTTGAGCTACTTTTTAGATTAGAAGAGTTGAATGTGAGAGCGTTCTGTCTCTGGAGAAACTAGAGCAGGCATTAGTAGGCTAGAGAGCAGGTTCTCAAACCAGAATCACCTTGGGGCTTGTTGGAATCAATAGGTCTGAAGTGGGGCCCAAGAATGAGCTAAGTTCCCAGAGGACATTGAGGCCAGTGTTTCTCAAAAGCATGCTGCTTCCAAACTTTGTAAATAACCACTTAGGCTCATCTGTAAAATAGGGATTGTAAAAGTACCTACTTCAGAAGGTCATGAGTGTCACATAAAAAGCTCTTGAATAATGGAAGTTCTTACCATTATTACTATTATTGGGTAATGGGAAGCTGCTGAAGGATTTTAACACAGAAATGGCAGATCACATGTGTGTTTTTAAAAATCCCTTTCTTATAGGTAGGTCAAAGAATGGGGCTGTTGTGAGACTTGAATCCTTGCCACCTGTCATGAGGCAGTCTAAGCAGTTCTAGTGAGACAAGGAACTCTGATCTTAGGCACAGGCCCTAGTGACAAAGAAGGAACAGATCTGATGACCAGCACAAGGTCGAATCTAGGGAATAGGACATCCTGGAGACACCTGCATTTCCTGGAAAGCTTTTTTAAAAATCATATTAGCAATACTAACTTCATATATTTATAGTTTCTTCTGATTATAAATAAGATATATGATTTTTATCAAATTCCAGTAGTTTGTGTCATATAAAAAGTAAAAATTCCTTGTGCTGGGGATGTAGCTCAGTAGCAGAATGCATACCTACCATGCATGAGGCCATGAGGTTGGTCCCTAACCCAACCAAAAAAAAGAAAAATCCCTTCTAATTTCACCCCTAAAGATGATTTCTGTTGACAGCTTACTTTATATGCCTCAAGATTTTTTTTTTCATGGAAATTCATATGTATTTTTAAAGGCATTATTCCATAACCACCGTTTTCACCTTTTTTTTTTTTTTGGCAGCACTGGAGTTTGAACTAAGAGCTTCATCCCTGCTAGGCAAGTGCTCTTCCCACTTGAGCAACCCTGCCAGCTCTTTCTTGTAATGGTTTTTTTCGGGATAGGTTAGGATAGGGTCTCTTGAAGTATTTGCCCAGTCCACCTTACTTTTTTTTTTTCTCTTAGCACCGTGATTCAGAGTAGTTAAGAGTTTTTTTTGCACAGTGCCAGAGTTTGAACCTAGGGTCTCCTGCATGCTGGGCAAGCACTCTGCCCCTAGGTCACATTCCCCAGCCCTACTTAATTATTATTTTTCTTTCTTTTTTGGTGGGACTGTGGTTTGAACTCAGGGCTTTGTGCTTACAAAGCAGGTGCTCTACTGCTCGAGCCATACCTCTAGTTCATTTTGCTATGGTTATTTTGGAGATGAAGTCTTATAAACTGTTTCCCGTGGCTGGCCTCGAACTGTGATCCTCCCAATATCAGTCTTCCAAGTAGCTAGGAACACTATCTTTCATTGTAGGGAGGTTCCAGAACTTATCTACAGGTTCCCTGCTTATGGATTTTTGAGACCTGGGAGGCAATAAAATAAGGTTTAAGTTTCTCCCTTGAGGGCAGAGATATGAGAGTTATCACTAGGATGAGCACTTGTTGAGACTTTGACCAAGTTCACTGAACCTTTCTCAGCCTGTCTTCTACCTGGGTCACAGGTGGCTACAGTTTGGTGGATCATTGTTGTTCTCATTTAGGAGGTCATTATCATGGGGGAGGTGTTATAAGCAACTTCTAGTCTTGCTTTTTTGGTAGGGCACAAGTGAGAGTGTGGTGGGTAAGTGAGGATTTCATGTGTATCTCTGTCCTGCCTTTCATCTACCCAGGGTCCCAACCCCCTGAGTTGGGTAGTGGGCAACAGAGGCTTATCTCTTTTCTCATAGGTGCAGCCCATCCAGCCCACACCAGCGGGTCCCCAGCCTGCTGTGGTCATCGCTAGTCCAGCCCCAGCAGTCAAGCCATCTGCCTCTGCTCCTATCCCAATCACCTGCTCAGAGACCCCTACGGTCAGCCAGTTGGTGTCCAGTAAGTGGCTCCTGGAAGAGGAATGTGGAATGTGGGCACCCCAACCCCTCAAATGTTGCTTTCCTTACTAAACTTCCTGGAGCCAGAGTGCCAGGCATGCACCTGTAGTCCTAGCTACTCCAGAGGCTGAGGCAGGAGAATCACTTCAGCCTAGGAGTTCAAGACCATCCTAGGCAATGTAGAGACCCCAAAATCCCACTTGCAGAGTCCAAAAGGGAAGTGCAGAGGCCCATAGTGACAGGGTTGGCTTTCTTATTCCTATTCTAGTTGAGCTGGATTCTGGGTGTATGATAGTGGAAGCAGCTCAGCTGGCTGGCTGGCTGCTTCTCAGAGAGGCCAAGTCATTGACTGTTTCTGCTATGGTTTATCACCCAGTATTTGAGGAATGTGGATGGCCAACTGTGTGCTTGCGCAGGACTAGGGAGCCTCAGGGAGGGTCAGTAGTTAGAGCTGGAAGAACGTGAAAATAGGGCTTAGCCGGAATAGGTTGGTCCAGGGCCCTTTCCCGTAAGTCTTGTTGTCTTGTGGGGGAAAGGGTTATGAGGGTATTAGGGTGTAGGAGCCTTTTGCTAGGTGTCCTCACCTGCACCAGTTCAGACCAAGGGGTCAGATAAGCAGTGATGATTCGTATCGTACACACTCATCCCTGGTCCCTCCTGGCCTAGAACCACATACTCCAAGTCTGGATGAGGATGGGATCAACTTAGAAGAGATCCGGGAGTTTGCCAAGAACTTTAAGATCCGGCGGCTTTCCCTGGGCCTTACACAGACTCAGGTGGGCCAGGCTCTGACTGCAACAGAAGGTCCAGCCTACAGCCAGTCAGCCATCTGCCGGTGAGTAAGGTGGCCCTGGGCAAGGTCAGGGCCTTCTCAGTGCCTGCTGCCATTTGGCACTCACCAGGACCAGGGTATCCAGCCCCTTTCCATATGATCCCTTGCTTCTGCCTCTTTCCAGACAAGGAAGCCTGGCCTAAGGGTGGATGTGAACAGCTGGAGTAGCCAAAGACTCACCCAGCCTTTCTAGAGCCTGCTGAAGTTTATCCTCTAATTCTGAGTATTTATATGGTCCTTTTAGGGGAACCCAGACCCAAATCCATTCAGGAATCCTAGCTTATAAAATTAATCACAAAAATAGGAACTTCAGAGCTGTCTTGGCCTTCAACTGTACTGTACCTGTCACACTACACCTTCCCCTCATATAAGGTGTAAGTAGAGTAACAGAACTTGGTTTTCTGTGTGCAGTTTACAAATTGACTTCCATGTCAGAACCAGAGGAGGGAGAGCGAGAGTTTCAAACAAGAGTAAGTTCATTGGCTCATTGATGGCTGAACGGTTTCGTCTGCTGCCAACTCCATAGATAAGACTAAATGACAAATGGAGTGCATTGCCAGCAGGCTCAGCTGGAAGGAGCAGCCCAACTTGTTATTGATGCCTCTATGACAGTGCAGTGGAAGGAAGATGACACTGGTGACCTCTGGAGGCTACTTAGGATGACTCCTCAAAGGACTTTAGTCTTTGAGTGTAAACATTCTGGACCTGTTGTCTAGGGCACTATTGTCACTGCTCTGCTGAGGTCCTAGTCATGATGTCCCTGTTAGGAACTGGGATACTGGAGAGTCTGAGGAGTCTGGACTTGGCCGAGCCAGAAGGGTGGTTGTGGAGGTGGTGAGGGGACACTAGGTAGAGTCTCACCAGTCCTGAGAGGAGCAGCCCCTGAGGACATCTACCCAGATGTACAGGTGTAGGGTGTGCTGAAGAGACCGAGACACATTTTCTGTCCCTTCCTGAGCTTCTGTGGCTTACAGGTTTGAGAAACTGGACATCACACCCAAGAGTGCCCAGAAGCTGAAGCCGGTGCTGGAGAAATGGCTGAATGAGGCCGAACTCCGGAATCAGGAAGGCCAGCAGAACCTAATGGAGTTTGTGGGAGGTGAGCCCTCCAAGAAACGCAAACGGCGCACCTCCTTCACCCCACAGGCCATAGAGGCTCTCAATGCCTACTTTGAGAAAAACCCGCTGCCCACAGGCCAGGAGATCACTGAGATTGCTAAGGAGCTCAACTATGACCGTGAGGTGGTGCGGGTCTGGTTTTGCAATCGGCGCCAGACACTCAAGAACACCAGCAAGCTGAACGTCTTTCAGATCCCTTAGGGCTCAGCCCCCAGCCCTGTGCTCCAGCACTTAGTACTCTTCCCTTGGCTCCCAGTTGTCGCCAGTACTGCGACAATACCACGTGCAGCCATGCCCTAGGTCGTGAGACTCTACCGTGTGCATGTGTGTCAAGACCTCCCTCTTCTCCCCCACGTTTCTCACATCCTGGGGAGGCCAAAAGGGCAGCCTGCATGGGAGCCCTAGGCTCGGGGCTGGGCATGTCAGAGGGATTTGTGGTATCTCTTAGAGAAGCACTTTGATCATATGGTTTCTGAAAAGTAAATTCTGGTTGAGAACCAGAAATGTCCCATCTCTGGGGCAGGGCTGTACAGCTCCTGGGGACCACTGGCCATTAGCTTTTGCTTTTGATGGTATTCTCTTTCTACTCACTCCTCTCCTTTGGTCCTGTTATTCTGACAGACATGGCAACTTATCCAGCCTCTCACTGTCCTTCCCCACTTGGCGTACAGGCACACACTGAGTATCTGAAAGGACCCAGGAGATAAAATTTTAAGAAGTGTGATGTGCTGCTCAGAAGGTCAGACTCAGGTTCTGCCTTTACCTCAAGGCCAGAAGACTCCTAAAGTTCTGGGGCCAGACCATGTGAGCTCCTTTTCCTGGTTCCTTTGGTGGAGGAGACTGCATTAAAGCAGAACCTTTCCTTTTGCATTCCATGTTGGAAGGAAACACCAGTAAACTCTACCTGTCCTGGAGTCCTCTGCTACAGGCCTAGAATTGAGTAAATAAGGCCATTCTCCCAGGTTTTAACCTAATCTCTGTTGATGGCCATCCACCCACAAAAAGTGTGTGTTGGGGGGAAAAAAAAGTCACACTTCCCAAGTAACCAGGCAGCTCTGGAGAAAAGTAAGGACAGGAATATTGATTTTCTCTCTTCCCCTACCCCTATACCCACCCCAACTAGTACCGAGGACTTCTAATCAGAAAGCAAGACACTGGGGGAAATGATAACAGCCAGAAAGAGCTGATGGCAGCCCAGGGAGGCCTCTTGTAGAAGCCAACTTAACTCTGATTTTCTTTGTAACTTTAAGCCTTGGGTATTGGATAAATCTCACTTTGACCACGTGTGTAAGCAATCCTTCTCAGTGCTCCTCTGAGTCAAGAATGCCCCAGAGCAGGATACCCCTCTAGGAGGGGTAGCCATGGGGGGTGGGGAATGGCATCTCATCTAAGCTGTTAAGTGAGTTTTTCCAGCCTCACTGCGGCTGGACAGCCCTTTAAATGAAGTATGTGGACTGGGATGTAACTCAGGGGTAGAGTGCTTACCTAGCATGTGCAAGGCCCTGAGTTTGATCCTGAGCACTGCAAATAATTAAAAAACTCAGTATGCAACTTTAGGATCTCAAGAGATAACTAAGAAATTTGCTTGGATGAGCAGATTTGCACTGCATACTGTCCCAGTGGTCAACCACCCTCTCTTCACTACTTTTATCCTAACAGAGGCTAGTCTCTAGCAGCTGACCCCAGTGTACCTCAAGTGATCTACTCTGAGGGAGTGACCATCAGGCATCACTCTGTTGGTCACTGGTGCAGAGCCACCCTGGCTTTCTCTGGTTCCTTTGGTGCTGTGTTTCCTTTCCTGCTTATTGCTGGTCTTTCCCAGGCCTTGTAATACCAGTGTCTTGCAGTGAGAGGAGGTTGCTGAACCAACACACACACACACACACACACACTGCATTGAGAGCAACCAAACCTGCCAGTGAGGGGAGACTCCATACTCTAGGTTCCGGTTATCAATCTCCCTCTGTGGCCTGAGGCACTCACTTGGGAGGGGTGTCATGCACAAGTTTTCAGCAGGAATGGCTACAGTACCAGAGTCTGTCAAGGACTTGGTGACTCACACTTTAGTAAATTAGAGATGCAAGTTTTCATGCTCAACACCTGCACTCAGCAGTGCTTTCTTTTTTTGGGAGACAAATGGGTCACAGCTGGTGTCCTGAGAGTAGCATATAATACAGGGTGTGGACATGCAAGAAGACACCATCTGTCCTGTGGCATGGCAGGAAAAAAAAAATCATGCACCACTTGGTCTAAATTAGGCTTGGTCACACTTTCTCAGCCCCTCCCTGGTCTTAATCTGTCTTCGCAAGGCTGGGCTAGAACTAAACTGTTTCCTCACCTACTGGAAAGATGGATTGGTCTTTCAGAGGAACAATCCCAAGGCCTGGAATATTCATAGGCAGAGGGGTGCAAGGTGTGCCTGAAATGGACCCAAAGCTGAGCTCACTGGCCTATGATCTCTGCCCTTGCTCCCCCATACAACTCCTAGAAAGTAGCTGGAGCCTGGCCCACTCACCTGAGGCCATTTTTGTTTTTGGCAGCATCAGGCTCTGAAGGGAATTGATATAAGTTTTATTTTGAAAATATCTTTGTGCACTTAAGCCAGCACTCAGTGGCTCCTTTGTTATGGAAAGACAGGAGAATGGGCAAAAGTGGTTTAACTATATGGTTTGCTTGTTTTAAGTGAAAACAGACCAAAACTTTCTATGGCCTGCTGAATCAGCTGGGGCCTTTGACCCTGCTCTAACCATGGAATTTTATCCAGGCAAAGTCCAGGAAGAATTTGGTCACAGAACTAAGAACACATGAGTATGGAATGAGAAAGTCTGATGTTTTGTGTTCTTGGAAATCCAATCACCTTCCCGTGCCCAGATTCTTTTCTTGCCACTTAGGCCAGGTGCTGGAGTACCAGGCTATGTCTCCTGAAGGCTGGAGGGAAGGATAGGGAAGGGAGAACAGGGGAGAAGCACTTGACGTAGTTGTGTGGAATAAACAGTATTTTTTTCTTTTGTACTGGTCTGCCTGTTTCTTGGTCATCTCTCAAGGTAGAATATAAGGGAACCACTCTGCTCAGGCCCTCCAGTTACAACCCTCCCTGTAGGGCTGAGTGCCTGCAGGGTCAAGAGGATATTCCCTTTCTCCTTGTAGGCCTGGACCAAGACTAACCTTCAGGGCCAAGAGGGTATGCCCTTTTTTCCAGACTACTAGCAGGGTAGCCTATTTCAAGCCCACTCTTAGACCCTGCTTCTCTGAGTCCCAAGACAGGCTATGTTGATGGTATGCACACTTGCAGGTCTAAGAAGTGGCTACCTTTGGGCTGCTAAAACAAAATACTTTAGGCTAGGTAGCTTATAAACAAGAGAAATTTACTGCTAACAGTTGCACAAGCAGGGAACCAGCAGATCAGGTGTCTGGTGAGGGCCCTCTTCCCTACAGGTAGACATCTTTTTGTTTTTCTTTTTTTGTTTGCTGGGGTTTGAACTCAGGACCTACACCTTGAGCCACTCCACTAGCCCTTTTTTGTGATTTTTTTTGTTGTTGAGATAGAGTCTCGTGAACTATTTCTTCGGGCTGGCTTCGAACCTTGATTCTCCTGATCTCTGCCTCCTGAGTAGCTAGGATTACAGGCATGAGCCACCAGTGCCCAGCTAGATGGATGTCTTTACATGGTTACCCCATGTGCTGGAAAGGCAACTGAGCTCTCTCACAGGCCTCTTTTTTAAGGGATCTGATCCTGGTCTCAAGGGCTGTACCCTCATGACTTAACCTAGGTATATAGAAGACTATAACATTAATAGTTAGCTTAATTTATACAGTTCTTTGTTTTGAGGTTTGAACTCAGGGCATCTACCACTTGAACCATGTTCAAGCTCTATATGGTTTGTTCGTTTCATTTTGTTTTTTTGTGGGCCTGAAATTTGAACTCTGGACTTTGTGCTTGCAAAGCAGATATTCTCCAGTCCATTTTGCTGATTACAGGTGTGAGTCACCAGTGCCCAGCTCGTTTTTGTTTTTTGGGTTTTTTTCTTTTTTTGGTACCACTGGTGTTTGAATTCAGGGCTTTATGCTTGCTAGGTAGGTGCTATGCCACTTGAGCCACATTTCCAGCCCTTCTCTCTTTTTTTTTTTTAATAAAAATGTAGCTATATGATAAGTGGATCTTCATTTGTATTCTTCTCCAGGCCTGAAAGTGTTAGAGGCAGGCCTGTCACCTGAGTTTAGAGCTGGGAAGAGTGTAGCTGTCACAAGGGTCTCTCTCCCATCTTATCTACCTCCTAGGCATAGGGTTCCTACCATCTTGCTTGCAGTGCCCTCACCCCCCACCTTCCTGGTATTGATGAGGTCTAGGTTGCACAATCAACTGGCAAGAGCAAAGCTTCCCCTTTGATTCCACCCAACCAACATTCTGTGCCAGACCCTGTGCTGGGTTCTAGATGTCATACCATCATCCAGCCACAATGTTCAAGACTCTGACACAAGGCTTGGACACCAGAGGAGCTTTACAATACTCTGAAATACTGGGGCAAAATATCAAATAGACGCCAGCACTTACCCCAGCATAGATCCCACAACGCTGATATTAACTATCCACACTGGGCTGGGCTGTGACTCAGCACACAGGTCAGGGGCACATGATAAGTGCTTGATAACTGTCAGATGGATAACTGAGTTCCTTTCCTCCACTGCCATCAAGAAAATAATGAGAGCTGAGCCCCAGACTTCAGGCTACTGGGAGAGAGCAGGGGCAGATATTGTGTAGCTATGTCAGGTTTGGACTGTGAAATGTGGGAGTGAATGGAATCTGAACAAATAGAGCCAGAGCCAGCAGCTCCCCGCAGGAGCTGATATCTCTGGCTCCAACCAGTTGAGTGTGGTTCCTGGCAGTAGCCCCAGAAAGGTTTTAAAGGAAGGGAGGTAGGTTTGTGGAAGGGCTGCTGTTTTTATTCCCAGGCCTGGGAAGTTCATTGCTCTGTGGATGGTTTTGGTGGGAGAGTCTCATTCTTTATGAACTAGAGGAGATATGGGTTGGTTTCTGGACTAGAGTCAAGGGAGGAGGAGAACCTGAAGTTTCTTAGAATTGCATGGGTATGAAAACTTCTGATTTCATTTCCTTTCAATTTCAGGGTCCTTCAGAAAAGATGAGTGGGCCTTGAGGCTCCTTGGGTGGGCTGTGGGAAGATGGAAGACGGTAAGAGTGAAGGCTAGATGGATGGTCAGTCCTCAGAAAAGCCTGCTGGGTCCTGGTTTCTTCCAGGAAAATGCCAGGGATTGACCTAGAAACTCAGCAATACTGACTGACCTGAGCAATTGAGTGAGAAGGGAGGGTGCTGACCCAGGGAGCACAAGTCCTCAAGAGGTAGGTGAGTGCTACAGCACACCTTTTGTCAATAATAATTGCTGAGCACCAGTGGCTCACACCTGTAATCCTAGATACTCAGGATTACAGAGATCAGGAAGATTGCAGTTTGAAGCGAGAGATCAGGAGGATCATGGTTCAAAGCCAGCCCAGGCAAAATAGTTGGAGAGACCCTATCTCAAAAGAACCCATCACAAAAAAGGGCTGGTGGAGTGGCTTTATGTGTAGGTAAAACCCCAGTACTGCAAACAAAACAAAACTGGAAATAGCATTAATTGAATCATTACTTATTTTGTGGTATTTCTGGCACCTTATTTAATTTGTACAACAACTTTAGAAGGAGGCATAATTTCACTAATTTATGGGTTAAAATGCTGATGCTCAGAGATGAGCGTTACTTGCCCAAGATTATGCAGCTAGTTATGGAGCTATTGTTCAAACAAGGCCTGGCTCTACCTAATAGATGTTTTAAGATATTCTGGATACACTGCTGGATTACAAAGGATTTTTGAGCCTTCAGATCTCCATGTGGCATTTCTCTTTTGGTGTCTGAGCCCAGAACTCATTCTTTTACTGACAGGCACACATTTGGAGATAAAATTGGTACCAGGGAAGAAAAGTGGATTAGAGAGACAACGAATGTCCCTGAGACTTGGATCTCAGGGCTTAAAGGAAGAAGATGGGCTTCAACCTAGTGCCCCCATAAAGAAACCTATGGCTGAAACTGCCCCCTTGTTGCCAACTTCATGCCAATCTCTTTCCTCATTCTCTTAGTCCTTTTTCAATTCAATGGGCATTTTTTATTATTGTTGTACTGGGGGCACATTATGACATTTACAAAAGTTCTTACAAGATATCATAGTTGAATTCACCCCCTCCATCATTCTCCTTTATTTCTCCTCTATTCATTCCTGGAATAGTTTCAACAGGTCTTTTCCATTTACATAATATGTACGTAATATTTCCACCATATTCACCCTCCTATACCCTTTCCTTATATCCTCCCTCAATAAGCATTTTAAATAGTCCTATTGAATGCAGGAACTAAGTAGGAGATATTTATACACAAGGCTGAAAAAACCCTATTCTTTTTTTTGAGCATAAGCAGCAGAGATTTTTTAAGCAGAGAGGAAAAGAGAAAAAAAGGCTCCAGCCCTTATGGGAGGGGTCTCAGAAAGGCTGAGCCTCTCCTTTTATTTATTTATTTATTTATTTATTTTATTTGTAGCTCAAATTGCCATGCAGCTCAGGTTGTCCTTGAACTCATGATCTCCTGCCTCAGCCTCCTAGATGCTGTAATTACAGGCGTGTACCACTAAGCCCAGCCTATTTCTTATTCTTTAGGAGATCACTGTCTAGTGAGAGAGGCAGTTATATACAAAAATACAATTAAAGACAGATTGTAAAAATATTCAGTGATGGAATACAGTATTGAACCAGTACTTTCGCATAGGCAGTTCTGTGAGTGAAAAATGCCAGTTTAGGATGCCAATTTAAGCCCTTAGCCTACATCTTATTGGAAAAATGAGGATCGTTATATTTACCTTTAGAATTCTAATTACAAGATTGTTTTGAGGACTACTGATAAAATAATGATGCTCCTGACATATAGTTGGTGCTTAATAAACAATGGCCAAAATTAATTCCCAAAGGAGAGAGGTAGAGGCAGGTATATTTATCTCTATTTACAACCGAGGAAACTAAAAATCTCAGTGAGTTTAACCGACTATTCTGATGTCTCCAATCTAGTAAGTGAGGACGCCAGCCCCAACTTTGATCTTCATATCTTTTAAGTCCTAACACTCCACCACAACCTTTAAAAAAGCAACGATAGTTTTTACCAACCTCATGCTTCCCTGTGCATTAGGGAGAAGGCGGAGGATAAAATGAGTATCAAGGGAAGTGGATCTTAAGCAGGGTCTCGATTTCCGGAGAGGTGGGTTTAAGAAGACAGGAGCATGAATAAACGTGCGCGTATAGGGAACGTCGAAGAAACGAAGCCCCGCCAGGGGTGGGAGTAGGTTCAGCTAGAAGGACTCCTCGTTAAGCCTTATGGTGTGGACTTGATACACAGGAGACACCATAACTCAAGTAGCGGCAACAAGACGCTCTAAATCCAGACTCAGGACGCCCCGAGACCGCCCAGCCTATCTCCGGGAGTGGGGAGGCCTACAGTAGCCAGCCTATCATCGCTGCGGAGGCCAATGAAGTCTCATTTTCATTGGCTAGCGTCGGGATGATGTCATGTTTTCGGGACGGCGAAGGAAGAGGGCGTCATGATTGGTTGGGGCTGGGGCGGCGGGCGGTGGAGGAGCCAGGCGAGTCTCGACCCTGTAGTGGACTTTCTCGGTTCATGTTTCCTGGCCGTGAGGGGCTGCAGAGGGCGGGGAGACGATTCAACAGAAACCTGGATTTGATTCGAAGAGCCGTAGGGCTGAGAAGGGGTGACCGGAAGTGCTTTTGGTACTGACCGGAAGCGAGGCCTGGAGGGGAAAGAGCGGGTCCCGGGAGGGGAGGGGAGGGGGCTTCGAGTAGAAGGGGGCAAGGGTAAAGGTACAAAATCCGCGCACGGGGCTGGCTGGTTGTCGCTGCTGTTGGTTTACCTGGAAGGCAGTGAGCGGCC